ATTAAGTTCTAACAAAATACTTAATATAACTCGAAGCAACCCGATGTCTAATCGAGTTGTAAAATTTTCAAACTGTAGGTATTGGATTGATATTGGGTTACTATTATTTGAACCCAACTCAAAGTAGAAAATTRTTTTAATGTGATAATGGTGTGAAAATAAATGATGTATCATAAATTAAATAAATAACTATAAGARTATAAATCGTAAATATTAAAAATATTTTTTCATAGTATATATAATATATAATAATATAATTAAGTCCAAAACTATTCAATATTGGGCTTATTTCGAAGGTATTGACGAGACGATTATAACAGTGTAACTTGTTAAGATGAACAAGATGAATAAATGGTATGAGAATGCTTCCTGAGAGGTTAATTTCGTTGTTAGATCTAATTTTAGTTAATATAAAATTATGTTTTTCAATGTGATAATGGTGTAAAACGAAAATTGAAAAAATAAATTATRTACTATAAATTAAATAARTAATTATAAAAGTATAAAATATAAATATTAAAAATACTTTTTCATATTATATATAATATATTAATAATATAATTAATTAAAAAACTATTCAATATTGGACTCATTTCGAAGGTATTAACGAGACGATTATAATGATGTAATTTGTTAAAATAAAAATATATTTTTTAAACATGTTATAATTGATATATAATTATGCGTGTTAATTTGATAAAGGTGTAAAATGAAAATTTTAAAAGGAAAGAATATAAAGTAAATTAATTATCTAATTACAGGGGTATGAAATGTAAATTTAAAATTAAAATTTAAAAAAATTCGGTGAATGTGAAGGTGTGAGTGAGGAAAGATGTGAGGAGGAGGGGGTGGGAAATGACGTAAGGGTGTGGGGATATCAACCCCCATATAGTTTTGTAATGGAGCAGGTAGCTTACTGCACATGGGTTTAATATATATATATATATATATATATATGTATGTGTGTGTGTGTCTGTCACGTATTTTCCATGCCATTTTAAACTTAATTTGGCTGATCACACGCATAAAGTTTTGATTTTTATATGAATCTTGAAAATATGGTGACAAAAACAAGAAATCTTGACTGACGCCTTGAATTAAATATGTTATAAGCTAGAGTTTTGAACACCCTTTTGCTGTGATCTTTGATTTTCTTATGGATCTCGAAAATATGTGACAGAGACAAGAAATCATGACATCACGTTGTGATTTTTATATAAATCTTGAACAAATATAGACATAATTTTTTCAATTTATAGGCTTTTTAATATGTAGTTTTTGTCAAAGATTTCTGTTTCTTTATCTCTTGAAACTACAAATCATGGCTTTTAATGATGTTCTAATTGCGACATCTATACAATAGGGATATGGCATGACTGAAACGAGTGGAGTTGTCTCGGTGGAGAGTCCAATTATGGGCCCTCGACACTCTGGTTCAGCCGGGAGGCTTATCCCAGGAGTTGAGGCTCAGATAGTAAGTGTAGATACCAGTAAACTTCTTCCTCCTAACCAGATGGGCGAGATATGGACTCGTGGAGCTAACATGATGCAAGGTATCTGCATCATTCTGTTATTCGTTTCACACTAAAAAACTTTGTATATTGAATATATTTTTGAATATATTTTGGAACAAAGAGAGTACTATTTGTTACTTTTAGGACATGTTTGGTTGGTTTCATTAATTCCTGTATGGATAAAGTTGTCTTTGTGGATTAATCTATATAGGTTTTTGTTGGGAGGGTTTTTCGTAGATAGAAGCAACGTGTTTTTCAATTGGGAGGGGTAAAACTTGGCTTTCTGCATAAAGCTCTCCCCTATAAGCTTACCGAGTAGGCCACTTTCTATGTCATTAAGCCACTACCACACACTCATGTATAGCTGATCGAATAAGATGTGTGTCCTATTAAGCTCATTCAGCTGCTAACAAATAGGCCCTTAGAGTCACGTGTCAGCTAGATATAGATCTGTATATATCGGAACTTACCCTCTGTCTGTAAGGGATCTTTTTGAAGAGACGAAAAACGGTTCCACATATTCTAACGGTCAGATTTGAACTTCTTTGGTTATAATTTCCAGGTTATCTCAACAATCCTCAGGCTACAAAGCTTACAATAGATAAACAGGGATGGGTGCATACCGGAGATCTTGGATATTTTGATGACGAAGGTCAATTATTCGTGGTTGACCGAATCAAAGAACTCATCAAGTACAAAGGGTTTCAGGTACAACATTCTTCGATCGATCCTATTTTAATCAGGTCTTTCGGATCTTTCCCATGTGCGCTAGAACTATACAGTCCTTAATCTTTGTTGATGCTTTTCAGGTTGCACCAGCAGAACTCGAAGCACTTCTGCTTTCGCATTCTGAAATATTAGACGCTGCAGTCATCCCGTAAGCCAAAAAGACGGTCTTCTTTTCGGTATTTGCTCATTCGTTTACATTATTTACCGTACAATTATAAAAGCATTTTTATTATGTGGTAGGTTTCCTGATGCTGAAGCTGGGGAGGTCCCGATTGGGTTTGTGGTCCGATCTCCAAACAGTTCATTGAACGAAGAAGATGTTAAGAAATTTATCGCAGAACTGGTAAAGATTTATTTGCATTGTTTCATGATCATTTTCCGAAAACACAGTGCTCACTGGAACGTAAACGATGTAGGTTGCACCTTATAAAAGATTGAGGCGAGTAACGTTCGTAAACAGTGTTCCGAAATCAGCTGCTGGGAAACTTCTGAGGCGCGAGCTTATTGAAAAAGTTCGGTCCAAAATGTGAAATTTTTTACGCAATGAATTCGATATTTGAGTTTCATGGTTATGCAGTTTCTGTAATGAAATCTATGTCAAAGAAAACTGAAATAATTAGAAGGATCGATTGATGATGTATTTGGTACATTTTATTTAGTTCGGCTTCAAAATGAAAATAAAATTTTGATTGAAACTCCATGGCCCATGGGTATCAAATTGGACCGAACCTGCGTTTGAACAGCTGGGCCGGATCCCCAATTGGGCCAAAACCAGAGAAGTAGTTGGGGACGTGGGGCTAGTGATTGGCCAAAAACTGGTCCTGGGTCGGGGAGGGCCGGGACAGTCCTTACTGGTCTCGGGTCTCAACAGATCCAGTCATAACCTATCCCATAACCGGTCCCGGTCCCAGATTTCGGTCATATAACAGGTCCTTACCGGTTCCGGTTCTTTGGTGGTCCTGTGTCGAGCTGGGCCTGTTTGGCCATCACTGCTTGGGGCCGATCAATGGTGGGTCGGATCTATATGAATGTCAAGTCCTTGTATTTATCTCGACTAATTTTAGGGTCCTAGAGAACAATAAAGAAATCTTAATATTTTTTTTTAAATATGAGCGGGTTATTGATTTTGTCTTTTTTTAATAATTTTTAATGAATTCGGTTTTTTAGCTAAAATAATTATAGAAACATGTGTGTGGCATGCGTCTCTTATGATATTGGTCTCTTTTGTTAACTTTGTTGCTTTATTTGTAAACTGTTATTTACCAATGATAGCTAGTAAGCGCTATCTGAAATAAGAGGTCTTATTAAAGTAAGCATCTCCGATTGGAGTAAGTAATAAAAAACTGTTTACCAAGTATTCTTGATTTGATGCTGACTAGAAAAATGACCATTATAACCCTATATGTGATGAAGTATTTAAACTAATGTAATTGTTTACCAAATATTATGTATGAATAATTGATGAAATGACAAAAATACGAATTTCATAATTGAAATATATTTAGACGGGAAAATAAATTGAATTTAAACATAATACTTGTCGCATAGATCTTAATTTGAAACATTAGACAATAACTGATTTGTAATCTGATCATGCAAACTAGTCATATATTCATTGTCTTGAGAACTCCACTGCATTTCATCGACTTCTGTTTCATTGCTTCTTTCATATTGTTCTTCAGCGACGGTAAACATGGTGTTCTTATCATGTTCCATGAATAATTGGTCTTGGATATTGTATTTCCTTATAAAGTTATGAATTGTGAAACAAAAACAATCACCATATCCTTATCTGTATTGGAAAAGGATAAGAAGTCATTTGCTTCAGGATTGAAAATCTTGCTTTTAAGACACCATACGTACGTTCGATAACATTTCTAAGTTGTGCATGAACATTATTGAACATTTTTTCTTTTGTTAATGCACGTTTACATCGAAAATCTACTAACCAGACCTCGTATTGCGATACGGAGTCATAAATCCACAGGTACAAGTATATGCGACATCACAAAGATAATATTCATCTGTAATTACATCTACAACTTAAAAAATATAGATTAATAATAATCTTTTAATGTTAAGAAAATGATACTTACTTGATGAAGAAAACGGAAATCCCAAAGTGGGGTTAAATGCAACTTCCCTCAAAACTCTAGAAGTATGTGTAATGTCTTCCCATCCACCCATATAAACATGAATATCATATTAAAATCACAAATAGTCAAAATGTATTGGTAGCATTCCCCTCGTTCTCTTCTTCTATACCTTGTTTGTTGATCACTAGACACAAACTAAACCAATTCTGGAAAGAGGAACGATCAGACATGCTTAATGAAAAAGGGGATAAGTAAACAAATTACCTCTTAATAGGGTAAGAGCTTTTTGTTGGGTAAGAGGCTAATAAGAGGCAAATAGACAACCCCTTAGATGATATTTTAATCTTTTTACCATTTTCTTTAATTATATGTTCAAAATTTAAAAAAAAATTATATATTTATATACAAACTTCTTCCATCTTTAGAAAAACATAAAAGATGAACTCTTTTTCATGTCTTCATTACGAACGAGCTCCCTCGTCTATTCCTGTCTTCCCCTACACCCCCTTTCTCCCCCATTAAAACTTACACTCGTTAATCAGAGGTGAATCTTATGTAGCACATAATAAGATACGACCATGACAAAGACAACATAACTGCTTGAATCGTTGTCGAGTGGGTAATCATAAATAATTCATCGGGGGTAGTTGCAAGCTCATTCCCATTCACCTAATTTAATTGGATTTTTTAATCAACAATAACGTATTCAATGTCAAATAGATTTTACTCCCTTCCAAACTTCCTTTTATAAATGAACTCAGGTTACGGTTACTCGATCTCACATTTCATGCACTTTTTTAGGGCATCTTTTACCATAGAAGATGTGGGCAGAGAAGTTGCCGTCTGGAAGGAAAGAATCAACTTTAACACATGGAATGTATTCAGTGGATAGTTCATGATAATATTTGATTTATTTTTCATAAAAGAATGAGAGAAAGATATAAACAATACTTCAAATGCATTTTAACTTAAAATCAGGGCCGGTCTTAGGATTTTTAATGCCTTGTGCGAAAATGCTAAAACATTCTCTTATGCCTATTTTTTTTAAGCCAAGGAAACGACGAAACATGTGATTTTTAAAGGGTTTTGAACTTAGTTAAGGTAGTGTCTCATCCTCACGCTGATTATCATGAACTAAGGGGAATGTATAAACCAAAACCCCAAATTACAAAATATAGAATGATAAAAGGATAAATCTTGGATTACGATCGTGCTTCCTTCTTTTTCGGTTTCCCTTTTCCAAATTGAAATTAACACAATAGAAACTTTATTTCAATATGTGGAACTTAAAAGACAAGGAAAACTATAATTAGTTTTTAACTAAAATAGTAAGCTACATCAAAAATTAGTGTCCCAGTAAGTAAAGAGTAAACTCAGAAAGTTACAAGTCTAAAGACTAAAGTCCAATGACCTATCTGTTAACAGCTTAATGAGCGTAACGAGGCAAACGACTTATTTTCTCAGGTATAGCTGGATGATATAGAAAGTGGCTTATTTTATAAGTTTTTTAGGGGAGCTTTATACATAAAGGCAAGTTTTTTTTTTTTTTTTTTTCCAAACATGTCACTGCCAATTAAAAAACACACTCCATACATCTATAAAACAACTCTCCTAAAAAAAAAAACTTTTCCAACCTATAAACAGATTAATCAACACATGTAGTTTTATCTATATAAAACTTAATAAGAAAAAAACCAACCAAACGGCCCATAAATCTAATGTGGTAATGCTAAACTTCAAAGTTAACAAAATGCAACATAACAATGATAAATTTTAAATTCATAATCTATGTCATTGTACACTGCAAAGAACACGTGCCCTATAATTAAGGCAATATCATAATATGTCGTTATTATTGGCGTAGTGTGCTTCAGCTATGTTGATACAATGATCTGCTCATATGCATTACAAATTTCAATTTCCAAATATTCCATTATGCAAGAGGAGACTCATTTTCAAAATGACAAAATTCTCTTAGCATTAGCCTAGTAGGTCTGTAACACACACAACCACATAAGAGACAACTTTATAATAATGAATTAGAAATGTAGATTTTTTTTGCAAAAATAATTAAAGATTAATGAATCATAATATGACTCATATAACAACTCAACAAGTTCAATCAACAATAGAAATCGGCCATCCGAGAATTCCATATTTGATTTTTTGAATTTAGTTTCATGATCGTTAATCGGCTAGAAACAAAACTCCATGCCTTGAAAATCGAAATGGTCGAACTCTGAAAATAATAGAAATCAAATTGAATTGTTGGATTGATAACGTTAACTGGTTCATGATGCACATTCAATATCCATCACTGTCAGGTCTTAGGTCTGTTTTTATAGTTAAAGACCAGTTGTCCAATTCATAAATTATTAAACCCAAAATTAATAATAGATGATAATTTGATGCCTTATATGATCACACGAGTTACACGTGACCAAGACCGGTCCTGCAATAAACTATTTTATTTTAAAAACATAAGTTAAAATCTATAATTAAAATTCCAATTTATAATCGCTAAAATCCATAATAATTCTCTAAATTTTCAAACCGCCACCATGTGATGGTATAGTATGGGTGCGGTTTGTAGGTATAAACTCATTGTGGGTGCTTCAACTAAAAACGCGACACGTGTAAGACCTCTCTCCACTATAAAATATCGTAAACCTCGAACGCTCGGTCTTCTCTCAAACCCTCACATTTCTGAGGCGTCGTCTTCCCTTTTTCTCCCTTCACTTCGACTCCATCTACACACCGGCCGGTGATTCTTTCGATTTCATCATCACCCAAGCCCTACATCGTCTACTTTCCGATCTCAAGGTACCGATCTGATAAGATATTAGGTTTACATGGTTTGTGTTCTATTTAATCTTTGATCTTGTTTCCGATGTGATTTCGATGTTGTTTGTTTGGTTTTAGATGGTGTCAGATGCGAGCAAAAAGAAGGCGCTCCAGAAGAAGGCAGCAGCTGCTGCCAAGAGAGGAGGCAAGGCAGCGGCCGCCGCCACTTCGGCTAAGGCGGCGGCAGTCGGTACGATGAACGGGAGCTCCAGTTCGGATAACTTGTCCAATGGGATGGGGTCTCTTGTGATTTCCGATCGTACTTGTACTGGAGTTCTTTGTTCTCACCCGTTGTCTAGGGATATTCGGGTAAGAACAAAAGTTTCAAATTGGATCTGTATTTCTGTAAATTGGGTTTTTTTTTCTTTCATGATTTGAATTGCTGTGGCATCTGGGTGTCGATGCATCTATTTATTTAGTTTGATTGAATTGAATGATAAATACAATACCTAGGTTTAGGGATTGGACAGACTGGGCATGGGATTGTCTGTGTTAACAAATATGATTTCTAGGGTTTTTAGTTTATATGATGTTTTGATTTTACAAGTTCTATAAAATACTATCATGTGCCTCCTAATATCAGGTTTAATAGTTTACAAATCAGGACCAAGGTTCCAAGAATCTTTTAGATTGTTAGTAAATGGCTGGTCATATATTGTCGTATCCTATGCCTTTTAATGTCATATCACATATGATCTTCCTTTCGCAAAAGGAAACTCAATTGGCTTGGTGCTGTTTGTAAGTTGTTCTATAGTATCTCGAAGGTGTAAATTTTGGAACTAGAAATAGTTTTGTTGTTTATAAGAGGTTTTACCGCAAGTGTTAGTGATTAATACATGGTTGATTCATGTATTGAACTTCTATGACCAGGGTAAATAGATAAAAATGCTTACAGTATTGCATTCTTTTTTCAGAAATACTATATGGTAATTGTGCACATACAAAGGGCACAATTACTGTTGATTAGTTCCTTGCTGCTGGTGCTTTTCTTTTGTTAGTAGCGGGATATCAACCTTGAAAATTTGTATCAAGTTTGCATATTATGGAATGGAACTTCGCTAAAGATTTTTTAATGTTTGGTATTTTTGCTTCCAAACGAGCTAGGGACCAAAATCAGGAGATCATGTTTTTGGAGGTGGAGATTAGGAGCAACTTTGTTCTTTTTTCAAAGTGATTTTAGAGCTGCTTTTTTTGTGGCAGGCAATGAATTTTATAGGATGCAATGGAAAATGCCTTGCCATTTCTTCAAATGGATTTTGATTTTGTTGTATCACCTTTTTTTTTAGTTCCATAATCATGCGATGCAATTTCCAGACATGATGGTATGTTGTATAGTCAAGAAAACAGCTTTGTTAAAACCCTTGGGATTTTAAGATGTAATCGGGAAACTACTTTGCCGGTAAATGCAGGTTTCTTTGGTGGACCATTTTGACATGAGATTCTTATTTAGCTGGTCTTCATTTTTTTCATAGTCCAAATGGAGTTGTTTCTGACCTTCAAAATTGAGCAATTTTGATGATTATCTGGAATTATTCAATTGAAACATAATTGTTGCATCTCTTGAGTTGTAGTTTTTGTTGTTGATCCTTGACTGTTTTAGGATATTAGGAATTGCATTTGCTCGACTTCCAAGGTTGTACAGACAATGTTGATGTTCCCATCGAAATGAAATTTATATTTTTATGGTAACTTTGGAGGGCATCTAGATTTTAGACACATGCCTAGACCCATGGTTTAGTTATCAGGGTGTTCTATTTGAACGATGCTAGTTGAACTCTAGAACATGTGTATTGCTAATTTTCTTCAATCTTGTTTTATGACAGCATGAGTCAGTACTGAGTTATAGTAGTCTGTTGATTCCCAACTGGGCAACTGCCTTCACTCTTCAAGCTGGCAGCTGGTTATTGATAATTTGTAACCCAATCTTTAAATTGTGATTGCAGATAGAGTCTCTGTCTCTTACCTTTCATGGACATGATCTTATTGTTGATACGGAGCTGGAGCTCAACTACGGGAGGTTAGCACCATTCACTTGGCATATTATTACTTTCTGCATGCTTTAACTACTTAATGTATTTATTTTAAGTTCGTGACCTTGTGTTTTCCAGACGATATGGTTTGCTTGGGTTGAATGGCTGTGGAAAATCTACTCTTCTTACTTCAATTGGATGCCGAGAACTTCCTATCCCAGAGCACATGGATATATTCCATCTCACCAGAGAGATTGATGCTTCTGATATGTCTTCCCTCGAGGCTGTGATGAATTGTGATGAAGAGAGGCTGAAATTGGAAGCAGAGGCTGAGCGCTTGGCTGGACAGGTGATAATGTGACCAAAAAAATAGCATAGTTAGAGCTTTTCTTATTTGGGCTGCATATTTGATTGTTTTCTAGCCACCTGGAAGTTGTTTTCTTACGGTGTATCTTATGATTCGTATTTGTTGTGGATTTAGGATGATGGTGGGGGAGAAGCACTTGAACGTGTCTATGAACGTTTGGATGCTATGGATGCAAACACTGCAGAGAAGCGTGCAGCTGAGATTTTGAATGGTCTTGGTTTTGACAAGAAGATGCAAGCAAAGAAAACACGAGATTTCTCTGGTGGTTGGAGAATGCGAATTGCTTTGGCACGTGCTCTGTTTATGAACCCAACCATCTTGCTACTGGATGAACCCACAAATCATCTTGGTAAGTTATTTGCTTTCTGAAGGTTTAAGATCACATTTTCTTGTGCATTTTATAGTAACTTGCCAGTTCTCAGTGTCTTGGTGGTGGCTAGAGGTCAAGGGGACAACCTCAGGCTATTTAGAATGTGTATTTTACCCCCCTTTCTTAAAAATAGACGATGAAATGCTTATTCTTATGATGTATTTCCAATGGATTGCAGATCTTGAGGCCTGTGTGTGGCTGGAAGAAACCCTTAAAAACTTTGAGCGCATACTTGTGGTGGTCTCACATTCTCAAGATTTCTTGAATGGTGTCTGTACCAACATAATACACATGCAAAGTAAGAAGTTGAAGATGTATACTGGTAATTTTGACCAATATGTTCAAACTCGGTCAGAACTGGAAGAGAATCAGATGAAACAGTACAAATGGGAGCAGGACCAAATTGCTGGTATGAAAGAGTACATTGCTCGGTTTGGACACGGGTCTGCTAAGCTTGCTCGTCAGGCACAGAGCAAGGAGAAGACTCTAGCCAAAATGGAGCGTGGTGGTCTGACCGAGAAGGTTGCTAGGGATAAGGTTCTGGTTTTCCGATTTGTTGATGTGGGCAAGCTTCCTCCACCTGTCCTTCAGTTTGTAGAAGTTTCTTTTGGTTATACACCTGATAACCTCATCTACAAGTGCCTTGACTTTGGGGTTGACCTCGACTCTCGTGTGGCGTTGGTGGGACCCAATGGAGCTGGTAAGAGTACACTGCTGAAGCTGATGACAGGGGAACTGGTTCCTCTTGATGGCATGGTGAGGCGTCACAACCACTTGAGGATTGCCCAATACCACCAACACTTGGCTGAAAAACTGGACCTGGATATGTCTGCTTTGTTGTATATGATGAGGGAGTATCCGGGAAACGAAGAAGAGAAGATGAGGGCATCCATAGGAAGATTTGGTCTGACGGGTAAAGCCCAAGTGATGCCGATGAAGAACTTGTCAGACGGACAAAAGAGCCGTGTGATATTTGCGTGGTTAGCGTTTAGGCAACCCCAGATGCTGCTTTTGGATGAGCCCACTAACCATTTGGATATCGAGACGATTGACTCATTAGCTGAGGCACTGAACGAGTGGGATGGTGGATTGGTGCTTGTTAGCCATGACTTCAGGCTCATAAACCAGGTGGCTCATGAGATATGGGTGTGTGAAAACCAAGCTGTAACCAGGTGGGAAGGTGGATTGGTGCTTGTTAACCATGACTTCAGGCTCATAAACCAGGTGGCTCATGAGATATGGGTGTGTGAAAACCAAGCTGTAACCAGGTGGGAAGGTGATATTATGGGGTTCAAGGAGCATTTGAGGACCAAGGCTGGTCTATCTGGTTAGAATGGGATGAGTATTCTGATAGGCTCCATATTATAGCAGCCAGGGTCAAGTCCTTATGATGGCAACATGGGGCAAGGATTGGCAGTCTGCTTTGCTGTACATGGTGAGGTGGACTAGGACTATAAAGAGGATGATGGGCTTTGTGAAATTTTGGGGGGCCTTGAACCTTTTTTGGTGGCCTCTAGGTTTGTTTTTCTTGCACTATAATATTTTGAACTTACTTTACCAACAAGAAACCAACTATTGATTGTTGCTACGATTTTATTCAAGAGTGTAATCACCAACTTCTAAGTAGTATTTGGATCTTATTGATTTCTATGTGCCACAATTGGAGTTATTTTATTATTATTTTATATGCTAAAATGAGCTCTTTATATTTMTGGGGTTCAATACAAGCCAAGTGGTTTCTTGATAGGATTCTGCAAACATGYTCTATCTGATTATGGGTTTATTTATAGCTTTGATGGAATTTGTATTCTTGTTTCCATTTCTTGATTATAAACCAACACCTGCTGGTAATCTTCAGCTTTGTATGGTCCTGGTTATTGTTGTTCGATTASAATCGACTCATATAATTAAGCCGATTTAGATCTGTTGTTGGATGACAGTTAAAACATCTAATAGAACCGAGTTGATGCAATTCCATCACCGTAAAGCAAGTTGGTACAAGCACGAGTTGATACAAGTTGTCCGGTGCAGGGGTATAAGCATCTTGAGTTGCTTGTACCTCTTAAGGCTCGTACCATATGCAACTTGTCCAACTTTATCCTAAACCTTGATTTTGTGTATAGGATCCCGAATTTGACAAGGGTTGCTACTTGTCTTGAATCGTACAGTTACCTTGTCTGTAAGACATACTTCTATACTTCTTCGACTCATAGATCACCTGTTGAAATGTTATCTAATCCGTTGATTCGTGGTATACCACAACACCTAGAAGGTTGATGTCAACTTGAAATTGCAATAAATAATCCAAATATGTTCTTTTGATTTCCATTCGTGGTTTACTTATGTCTGTTTGGTAGTTGCTGAATGGTTTGATACAAGATGATTAAGTTGTTCATGATGAAATTAGGGCGCTGAATAGTTCAGGGAGACTCGAGATACAAAATTATTCACAGGGTTCTAAAACCATTAAAAGCCATTTTTGAACCAATAGATGATTGAATCAAATTGGTTTCGTACAAATTAGTTCTGAAAATAATTTATGTCTGGTTTTGGTTAAAAAAGGCCTAGAGGATTTCCTTTTCTGGTTGTGTTTGATTTCATTTACTTGTCGTCTTTTGGTCTCAATCATGTAATGTAGGTACAAGTCATTTCTTTCTCTATTCTCATTTCTCTGAATCAATGTGATTCGTTCAGCACCTTACCTTCTCAATCATCTCTCTCTATAAAATTTACTGATTTCGTTTGATTTGGTGCATTTTAATAACATCTAACCGATCCTAATTCGACTAAAGTCATTTAACATGTAATCAAAACCAGTAATCCTTGTTTTGGTTGTCATTAAAAGAGTCTGATCAGATCATAAAGCACTGTTTGGTTGATTTTCCATTAAGTTCTGTCTGTGTTGATTAATCTGTCTGTATAGATTGATAATGTTTTTATTTGAGAGGGTTTTTTATAGATTGAATGAGCGTGTTTTTTAATTAGGAAGAACGAGTTCAAAAAAAAAAAACTTGCTTTCTGCATAAAGCTTTCCCATAGGTTACCAAATAAGCCATTAGTCTATATCATTAAACTACTATCAAACAGTCATGTATGGCTGACCGAATAAGCTGTAATTCTCATCAAACTGCTAATAAACATACCCCAAGTCAGTTAACCCTTTTAGGATTAGGGTAAAAACGCATTTGAGTAAAAGATGTATCTTATAATCTTTTTGATTTTGATGGCAATCAATGATCCTTTATACTAGTTGATTTGTTGACCATCAACATATGCTTCCAAAAAATAGCAAAAACCAAAAGAAAGAAATTGGGTCTTTCTTCAATTAATCCTAATGGAAATCAATCAAATGAAATCAATTTAAACCGAATGAGATTCAGCAACTTTCAACCTGGATCCAACCGGCATCATCATCCTCATCCTCGGCTCGATCTCTCAGCCAACATCCACTCGAGCTCCCGCGGCCTGCACGGGACCATGAGTGCACCCTTGTGGTTGAACCCGTACTCCTCGGCTGCTTTCTCCAACAATCTTTGAAACGCGGGTCGAGCAAGATACGCTAAAGGAACCACAAATCTCTTTCTAATTTCTTGATCAACATCAGCTGCAATGACAGCAAAATGGCCTTGTTTCACGTCTTCTGGCACCCTGGTGTTTCTGGGTGACCATTTCTTGGCTTGCAGAAGACTCTTTTGCAGCTTCTCTACCACCACTTTAAGCTTCAAAATGCCATTGCTTTTCATCACAAGGTTTTGTATATATATATTTCATGAATTTTGTTGAGCATATAGATTGTTTATATAGAGTGGTTGAGGAAGAAAAGACGAATTGAACCAACCATTGCATGTGCATGGAAATTGAAAGCCATGAATGGTCACTGTTTATGTGGAGTCACATCTCTCCATCAATATTCATTTAATTACCTCCAAATTTTAACTAATCTCATCTCTCTTTCTTAACCCAACCATAAATTAACACGCTTGTTAGTTCATGCAAATTCCGCTTACTCTTTATCTTTGAAACAACTCGTGATTTCTAAGCTCGTTCGTTATAAGCCTTAAGTTGTGGGTTACCAATAACTTTCACCATGGTTTTAACTCGTTTCGAACTATTGCTTTGGATTGTTAAGAGTCTTTTTTCTTCATAATCTTTTAAGATATACTTTATTCACACGTACATACATGTATATATACATACATATATATATATATATATATATATATATATGCATGTATGTATTTTTGTAAGACTAATTAAAGATTATGATGGCTCTGATTATTGATAGGTAGGGGTGCAGAGGGACGGATCAAGAATTGGGTGCAAGTGGGGAGTCGACGACTCTGAGATAAGCCAAGTGATCAAGTGGGGAACGAGGTTCGCGGATTGCGGAAGTGGGGAAGAGGGATTGTGGCTTTTATATTTATATATATATATATATATATATCACATGTGATAAGAGAACAGCATTTCCGCTCAGATCCATTTGTATAAAGACATATCTTGTCTAGGCAAATTTTTTGAAATGATACCCTTATTTCCATGTCTTCCAGCTACTTTATCGCCTACTTTGGATATTGGGTGGCGTTAAAAGCTTTGTCATCAGGGAAATCTCTTTCTACCGGGAATTCAAAAAGTTTTAGTGGCTCCCTTCCATGCCTCATTTCATAGGGAACCTCAAAGTGGCTCTATTTCATTATATTCCATCCATATCCCARTTCCATTCATTTAATATCCTTTTGGTGTCATTGACATAAGATATGTCATTTCTATTCTATCTCTTTCTATTTCTTTTCTATATATGGAAAGTTTCAAAATCATCACAAACCTCCCTTTTTCTTATATATATTTATATATTTGGGATCATGTGAGACCAATAGCTTTTTGTGAGACACCAATTCTCAACCCTTGGATTAGATTTACAATCGTCAGATCTGATAATTTATAAACGCCACAAGACTTCTCAATAATTACAAAATTGCCACATTACAACTTTAGACCATTAGATCTTTAGTTTATAAAGTTGATCAATGAACATAAATTGGTCTCATGGGACTCACGAAAAACTCTTGGTCTCACGTGAACCCAACCCTATATATATACATATATATATATATATACATATATATATATATATACATATATATATATATATATATATATATACTAGAAGGGTACTCGCGCAATGCAGCGAGATATATCGTGTTTTAATATTTCATTTTATTCTTTATCTCAGTCGATGTTATAATATGACTTTATGTGATTTTGAGAAAGCGATGATGTTTTTATTTTTGAATAAAATATATGTTTGACGATATCATAAAATTTTGACTAAAATATATCGATATTA